GCTTCGCAATGTTGTGAAGCTAGAAGGACCCACACTCCTCTTCGTCATGGAAACAAAAATCAAAGGGAAGAGAGTTGAGGACTTGCAAAGACATCTAGGCTTCGGCGGGTGCTTTGCGGTTGATAGTACTGGTCTAAGTGGTGGTATCGGTCTGTTTTGGTCGCATGATGTTATTGTGGACCTCAACAATTATAGTGCTAGTCACATTGATATTTCTGTTAAATTTAAAGAGCAAAACTCCTTTCAATGGAGGTTTACTGGTTTCTATGGGGCACTCCGAGCGGAAGATAGACACCATAGTTGGCGTTTCCTACGCACTCTGTATAACATACCGCATGCGGCATGGATATGTTTGGGTGATTTTAATGAAACTCTCTTCTCTAATGAGCACTTTAGTCGGGCTGCTAGGCCAGAGAGACAGATGAGAGCATTCAGAGAAGTCACCGATGAGGTGGCTCTCCAAGACTTGGGGTGGTCAGGCACTCCATACACCTGGGACAATCGTCAAGCGGGTGATGCGAATGTTAAGGCAAGGCTAGACAGGGTCTTCGCCAACGAGGAATTCCGGCAACACTTTCAACACATCAGAATCAGGCATGTTTCTTCTGTCGAATCTGATCATTGCTTTGTTGTAGCGGAGATAAGGGAAAAGATCAATAACATGTCACGTGCAAAGAGACCGTTCCGATATGAAAATGTTTGGTCATCGCATGTGGACTATGATCGAGTTGTCACCAATGTGTGGCAGGAGGTAAATAGGGGACCGGGCCTTCAAGGGATTGTGGATTCACTAAGTCACCTAAAGGAGACGCTTGAACCTTGGGGGACTCGCGAGTTTGGCTGTTTAACACGCCGTGTCAGACAGCTACAGAAGAGGCTTGACAACCTACGTTGTCGTTCAGTTGGCCGTGGGCCTACAGATGAGGAGAAAACAGTGGTTCGGCAGCTTCGAGAGGCTCTTCATCAGGAAGAGATCTGGTTACGACAGCGATCACGTGTTCCCTGGCTGAGAGAAGGAGACCATAATACGTCGTATTTCCAAGCTCAGGCTGCACAAAGAAAGCGAATCAACAGAATACAGGGTTTATGTAGATCGGATGGCTCGGTTTGTGCAAACGAAGAGGAAGACAAGGCCGAGGTTCAGGCGTTCTATCATGACTTGTATGAGTCCCAAGGTTGGAGGGATTCTACAGAACTGCTCGATCATGTTCCTGCCAAGGTGACGGAGGACATGAATTTGGAGCTCACAAAACCCTATACTGCGGAGGAGGTCAGGACAGATTTGTTCCAAATGGCTCCCTCCAAAGCACCCGGGGTAGATGGGTTTACTGCGGGGTTTTATCAGTGTCACTGGAGCTTGCTTGGTAAGGCTGTAACCAAGGCAGTTTTGGATTTCTTAAACGGGGGCGAACTACCTGTGGGTCTGAACGACACATCGATTACGTTGATCCCCAAGGTATGACATCCTCAGTCTATAACACAATACAGGCCCATCTCTCTTTGTTCGGTTTTGTATAAAATTGCTTCAAAGTGTGTGACAAACCGATTGAGAGTATTCATGGGGGAAATCATCAGTGAAGAGCAGAGCGCGTTTGTTCTTGGGCGGCTCATAACGGACAATGTGTTGGTGGCATACGAAAGTGTGCATACTATGCGAAGGCGGAAGAAAGGAAAAAACTATGCTTGTGTTATCAAACTTGATATGATGAAAGCATACGACCGTGTCGAGTGGCATTTTCTGGAGGCAATTCTCACTAAGTTGGGCTTCAATGTTAATTTTGTCAGGCTCGTTATGAAGTGCGTGTCCTCGGTGCGCTTCTCAGTCCGAGTTAATGGTGAGCTACTGCCATTTTTTTCACCCTCGTGTGGGCTGAGACAGGGTGACCCAGCCTCACCCTTCCTTTTTTTGCTATGCGCGGAGGGCTTCTCCTCTCTGTTGAAGTTCTATAATCATGGATATATTGACAGAGGAATCAGAGTAAGTTACAGATCGCCTTGGGTAACTCATTTGCTTTTCGCAGATGACAGTTTGATCTTCATTAGTGGAAACACCCAAAGTGCAGTAAGACTGAATGAAATCCTAAGGGTTTATGGTGATGCTTCGGGTCAGTGTGTCAATCGTGCAAAGAGCGCAGTTTACTTCAGCTCCAACACACCGGCCCAGCTTAAACAGCAGCTCAAAGCGGTTCTCAATATTGATGTTGAGGCTTTTAGTGAGCGGTACCTGGGGCTACCCACTGTGATCGGGCGCAGGCGCATCACAAGTGGAACTTTCGATCACATCGGGGAAACAGCTCGCGGGAAGATGCAGGGATGGTCTGAAAAACTGCTTGCGTGTGCAGGTAGGGAAACTTTGCTGAAATCAGTTGTACAGGCCATTCCAACGTACTCTATGAGCACCTTTCTACTAACAAAAAAGGTGTGCAAGAGTTTGACGTCACCAATGGCTAAGTTTTTTTGGAGCAGCTCCATCGACAAAAATGCTTTACATTGGGTGTCATGGAAGAATTTGGCTACACCAAAGTGCCAAGGAGGTATGGGGTTTCGTGACCCACAACAGTTTAACATTGCGCTACTAGGGAAGCATGGGTGGCGGTTCATGATGAACCCTGACTCTCTGTGCGCAAGGGTAATGAAAGGCCGCTATTTTCCTGATACAGATTTTTTGCATGCCAACGTTCCCAAATCAGCATCTGCTACTTGGCGAGCTATCATTGCTGGCAAGAAAGCTTTGCAGGCGGGACTTGTTAAGAGAGTAGGAGATGGGAGCTCTATTGATGTCTGGGTGGACAAGTGGATTCCGGGAACCATCTCCATGAAACCTTTATTCAGACCTCCTAGCACTAATATTCAGAGAGTCTCGGATCTCATTGACACCGGGAACTGGTCTTGGAAACAGGACCTTATAAGGACAACTTTTATCGCCCCAGATGCAGATGCTATTCTTAACATACCCATCAGGAGGGGAGGAGGACAAGATTTCTTTGCTTGGGCCTTTGAACGATCAGGCAACTACACTGTTAAGTCAGCGTACCGTGCTCTAATGACTCATAACGAGCGTCTAGCTCTAGAAGAAGGGACGGCTACAGGTGCCTCAACGGATGATAAACAGATGTGGACAGCCTTATGGAAACTCAAATTGATCCCAAAGGTTCGGGTGTTTTGGTGGAGGGTGTTGAGGGGGATTCTACCTGATGAATGTATCCTCAAGCACCGCCACATTTCAGTTCTTGACACTTGTAAAGTGTGCATGGCAAGAGAGGAGGATCTCATGCATGCGTTAATACAATGCTCCCATGCATGACGTTTCTGGAGCGAAGCTTGTGCTTGGTTTGATCTCAGACTCCCTCGACTACATCCAAGTTCGTGGGCTAGGGACATTCTATGTGGTGATCGGATCAGGGATGCGGATCGCCCAAAAATCATCACCATCATGTGGACGATCTGGCATTCTCGCAACCGGATCAAACATGATGAAGAAGGCAGAGACCCAGCAGCTGCGATGAGATCTACGCGGGAGGCCCTAGCGCTGCTGGAGCTACCCCGCAATGAAGCAGCCATGCTGCCGGGGCATGGTTGGAAGCCGCCGAAACCAAGTACGATCAAGATTTCATGTGATGGAGCACTCAATGTGGCGGAAGGTCGAGGAGGGGCGGGTGGTATAGCCCGGTCCGTATCTTCGCTCTTGGGTGCTTGGTGCAAACCGTTCGGCAACATCTCCGATCCTCTTATCATGGAAGCCCTATCAATGCGAGAAGGAACGCTTTTTGCAAAACTTCGAGGCCTATCGCATGTGATAATGGAGACTGACTGTCAGGAGTTAGTGCAACTCTGGCATACACGCCACAACTCACGTTCGGTTGTGGCTCCTATCCTAGATGAAATAGGAGAGCTTAGTTGTGATTTTTCTGTTTTTCAGATTCAACATGTATTAAGGTCAACAAACTTACCGGCACATCTATGTGCAAAACGTGCATGCACATTGAATGTGACCGAATGTTGGCTCGAGGAGACCCCTAGTTTTTTGGTAACTAGCCTTCTGGCCGATTGCCCGGGGAACTCATTTGTTGAATAAAGCTCTCTGATTTACCCGCAAAAAAAATACTGAAGTTTTTTCAGAAACCATAGTATTTCTACAGAACTTCAAAAATACTTAAGCTCCCAAAGGCACCCTAAATTAAGACCAAGACACAGCCAACCTACCCACTAGTTTTTTTTTTTTTTGAAGGACTAGTTTTATTCAACGCACGTAACATTAAATCGAAAAACTAGAGGCATCCTTCCGTGCCAGCCAATGAGTGTGGCATATCTCATTGTGAAGCCAGCAGATGATTCGTGCTCAGCCACCGTAAACCTCTCACTACTTCGGCAATATGATAATACGTGTAATAATCGAAGGAGAAAAATTTGAGATTAATTTAAGTCAACTGCAAGGTCGACAATATGGACATCCAAAGATGAAAAGGACTAGCACTAGCAAGCTGGATGATAAGGCTCGCGTCCACCACTATAGCCACAACCATCATGCATCCAGCTATAACGATAAAACTGCAGGGCTAGCTTCTGGAATCCCCCATTGATCAACAAAAAAGGCTGTTCCATTATACCAAATCTCCGCAGGTCACGTCAGCTTCACACACGCAGTGCAGCAACCATATTCCCTCTCGCACCATGCATGCAGGATGCAGCGGCGCACTTGAGACGTGTCACCCCGACGCGCTACGAGGCCTCACATCTCCGTTCCCTTTGCACCGCCGGCCACACACTACGCGCCACTACCCGAGCAAATTAGCCACAAGTTCTTCCCACCAAGGGAGCCGCAGGCCGAACCATATTTCTGAAAGCCCACTTCTGGACCCTATAAATAGCACGGCATTGTTCCTAGTGTTTGCATACCAAGGACAAGGAGTTGCAAAGCCTTAGGCAAGAAAGCAAGCCAGCAGCATATACATATTTGAATCACATAGAAGCAAGACCTAGTTCTTAGAGGTTCCGCAACAATGCGGCAAATGACAACCATTTCGGTTGGCATTGTTGTGCTCGCCGCACTTGTTTTGGCATCCGAGGGTCGCATTGCCCGGAAGGACTTAGGTCTGGACCTTGATCTGGGCCTAGGGACCGGTACAGAGGTTGACATTGGCATAGGTGGTGCTATTGGTGGTGCCGGCTCCGGCTCTGCATCGGGGTCTGGTTCTGCGGCTGGATCAGGGTCGGGATCAGCCTCTGGTTCCGGGTCTGGCTCGGGGTCTGGTTCGGGCGCTGCATCATCGGCAGGTTCGGGTGCAGTTTCTGGTGGAGGATCCTATGCTGGGTCCGGTGCAGGCTCGGGCTCAGGTGGAGCCTCTGGCTCTGGTGCTGGTTCAGGCTCAGGTGGAGCCTCTGGCTCTGGTGCTGGTTCAGGCTCAGGTGGAGCCTCTGGCGGAGCTTCTGGCTCTGGCGCTGGTTCAGGTGCAGGCTCAGGCTCAGGTGGAGCCTCTGGCGCTGGTGCTGGTTCAGGCTCAGGTGGAGCCTCTGGTGGAGCATCTGGATCCGTTGCTGGTTCAGGCTCAGGTGGAGGCTCTGGCTCTGGTGCCGGTTCGGGATCTGGTTATGGTCAGGGGCAGGGTAAAGGAGAAGGCCAAGGCCAAGGATCTGGATATGGCCAGGGTTCCGGCTCGGGCCATGGACAAGGTTCGGGCTCTGGTTCGGGTTATGGTGAGGGACATGGTGAAGGTTATGGCCAAGGACGTGGTGCGGGATTAGGATACGGTGAGGGCCATGGCGAAGGTTATGGTCAAGGAAGTGGTGTCGGGCAAGGATCCGGATACGGTGAGGGCCATGGCGAAGGTTATGGACAAGGAAGTGGTGTCGGGCAAGGATCTGGATATGGCGAAGGTCATGGCCAAGGATCTGGTTCAGGCTCTGGCTATGGTGAAGGCTCTGGTAGTGGTTATGGAAATGGGGCTGGCTCGGGCTACGGTGAAGGTCACGGATATGGGTATGGATCTGGACATGGCAAATGATTTCAGACGCAGACTACTTAATAATGTATGATTGTCTCAAGCTTCATATTTACACTTGGACATCATCTATGTGTGTGTGCCTGCGATTCTAAGGAACCGAGTCTAACTAAATTGGTGGGGGGTCAAATGTGTAATCCTATCATCTAGGTTCAAGTCTTTGACTCAAACTTTAGAGTATATGTTCCACCCGTTGTATTAATAGTACATGTAGGTTCTCCTACATGTGCTTTAATATGCACTTATTTATAAATAAATTCCATGTTGAGTGAATAATTTTCCATGTTAAACATGAGTGCAACCAGGGGCATAGCTAGGCCCCGGGCTGCCCAGGCCATGGCCTGGGCGTGGAGAGATTCAACTTCATTGGTTGTAGCTACAGTGATTACTGTATGAACGAAGCTGGCCCGGGGCGTAGTCATATGCGGGCTACGACACTGAGTACAACGCCACATGCATGCATGAGGTATTTGTACGATGCACTGACGCGAACAATAACCTTAAGTATGATGCACTTATGTGAATAGTACTTAACTACATCACTTGTGCGAACAAGGGTCCTGCATGTCGCGTCACATGCGGCAACTACAAATCATCGGGGTTAAACAACCATAGACGGCGATTCTACACATGTTATTGTAATTTTGCTAGGTATGATGCAAACCGTAGGTGATGAAGATCACATCACAGTTGGTTCATTTTGAACTTGTATTAAAAGAACATATGTGAGTGTCACCAATAGTCTTATATGGACCGTGATGCTATAAGGACATAAAAATGTAATACCATGCTTTTTGTGACAACCAAATTGGTTGAGATACTTATAGTAAATGTCGATTAACAGACAAGTATATGACACATAGGATAAATCCTACAAGAGTGTGGTATGTCAGAGTTGTTGCAAACCTGACGTACTATATCAAACTTATCTGCCTAAGGCCTAAGGTTTGGCAAGTGTGGCTACGAACCAAAGGATTTTTTTTCTTCAGGGGTTTTGTATCATAGGATACTCATGACTACTTGGTCGAATATATTTTATTGAAATATATAGAATATCTGCTTGTAGGAAAAAAAAATCTTTAGAAGCCCTTTAGATCAAAGGCATGTGATGACCACAAAGACTGCTATGGACTGTTTTCCTACATAGCAATTTTTAGTTGTTTCTCGCCATAGGTTGACCTATAACTTTCCTTTGTGACATTTGTGCACCTTTTCTCTATTCAAATTTATGCCAAAATTGTGTGGAGCATCCAAAGAACATGTTTTACAGGTACTTGTGTTTTGTTTCCATATAGGAGGTGATGATATTTGAATCTTTCGTTTATTTTATTTTATAACCTACACCCCCAAATGTCACTCATAAAAGTTCTTGGAGGATTTATGAAATCAAATGAGTATAGAGGCCACTGGTTCATATAATTGGAGTTCTCAATCTCTCATGAAATGTATTCATGTACACTAATTTTCACGAAATGTTTTCACGTATCCTAAAAGGGTCCAGTCGATCATGTAAATGAGGTCAAAACTCCATTTTGTTCTCCCTCCATTAAGTACAATGGTGTTCTCTCTCTATATCTCCGTCACTCACTCTCTCCCTTACATACTGTACTCATAGAATATAATTTTATATTGTATTTATTTGGTAATGTAGATGCTGATATTTTTTGTATAAATTTGTTCAAACTCTACAAAGTTTTTTTTTCTTTGCGGGGGAGACTTAACAAAAAAAAACTAACGTGATAAGCATTTTGAATGGAAGGGAGTATTTACTCTCAAATTTCTGTGTATTTTCCGTGCACCATCCAAATGCATTAACTTCTACTCCCTCTGTTCCCAAATATAAGTCTTTTTAGAGATTCCAACAAGTGACTACATACGGAGCAAAATTGAGCGAATCTACATTTTAAAATATGTCTACATACATCCATATGTTGTAGTCCATTTGAAATGTCTAAAAGACTTACATTTAGGAACGGAGGGAGTATATAATTTCTACTTATATGTCTTTTTTTTTTGAGGGACTACTTATATGTCTTCAATATGTGGTGGTACCGAGGATTATGCAAATTCAGGGGCTTACCCCTTAAAAAAAATTAGGGGCTTACTGCCCGCCCCTTCCTTCGCACGCAACACCAGCACGTCTGCGCCGGCGATTGCATTCCCCGCCTTGCACTTGCAGTTGCACTCCCCGCCGCATTCTTCTTCCCTCCACGGTCATCTCCAGCAACCGATAAACCGCAGGCATCCCACGTCCAAAGCGGAAGGAAATCCATGGCCAACCGCGCCGCGCTCTTCCCACGCCCGATCCTAGCCTTCTCCGTCCTCCTGTGCCTGGCGCCGCTGCGCCCCACGGCCGCGCAGGAGCAATGACCGCGATTCCCCATCGCGCCGCGACCGGCGTTCATGTTCGGCTGGCTGGACGGCGGGGGGTCGTTCCGGGCCGGCGACACCGCGACCGTCATGATCACGTCCTTCGACATCCCCGACGCCAACGTCTCCGAGGTGCGGCGCAAGGCGGCCTTCAAGGTCACCCTGCACGGCGGCAAGGCCGGCAACAGCAGCGTCCTCACCGACGTCGCCGTCCACCTCGAGGGCGACCTGCCGTCCTGGAACATCACCCTCGTCCCGCTGCGCGCCGGGAACTTCATCGCGCTCTTCGAGGAGGAGCGGTTCTTCCTCGGCGTGGACACGCTCAACTTCGCCGTCGCCGCCCGGGACGTGAACCCGTCCGCCTCCCTGGCCTCCTGGACGCACCTGGGGGGCGGCCGCGTCGCCGCCGGGTCCAAGGCGCTCGTGTCGGTCTTCCCCAGGGACGCCTTCGGCAACGGCCTCCCGCGGGGAGCCGACATGCCCTTCGGCAACTGGTACTTCGCCGTGTCGTGGTCCTACGTCAACGGGACGCCCGTCGAGTTCTCGGGTCTCGAGTACAACGGCTGGACGGAGGACGGGTGCATGAGCATCGAGTTCGTGCCGACTCTTGCCGGGGACTTCCTGGTGCACGTTCATGCCGACAACACCAAACTGCGTGGCTCGCCATTGCCGCTCACAGTAAAGCCAGGTCGGTCCTCCCTCCTAACAAACAACGCCTCAAAATCAAATGCAGAACTGGCTGGAAACCTAAGTAGTAATAAACCTATTCAATGTGGTCAACTTCTTGCAGGACTCATCGACGTTGCGAAAAGCACGGCCGAGTGGAAGCATGGGACAAACGCCGTGCAGATATTCTCCAAGCTGGAGATCTTCATAAACCAGAGGGATTCGTTTGGAAACCTCGTTCCTGGGATCCACCCATTTGATGCTGCCGTGGTTGAGAGCGCCTCAAGGCTGTCGGTCCCGGTAGGGGGTCTCCGGATCGAAGCTGTCGCTGAGGGAATTCAGCGGCTCTCCTTCGACGTCGTGGAGCCCGGGGAGTTTGTGCTCACAATCTTTGAAACTCACCTGAAGCAGAGGCTTTCTGATACGGTGTACGTGTATCATGTCTTTGTAGGTATGTTTGCTTATTTATTTTTCTTCTGAGAATACTATCTTGTATAGTTTCATAACTAATGCTGGTATATAAATGGAAATTGTTAGGGTATTGCGATGGATCGAAAAGCATTGTTAACGGTTCTGGTTTGGTGCAATCTGTTGCTGGCTCACCATCATCATTCATGGTTTACCTGCTGGATCAGTATCAAAGCCCTTCTCCGATTGATACCGATATGATGCGAGTGCAGATTCTAAGCAGAAATGGCACGTCTGGTGTAAACCCAGTTATAACACCTGTAAGAGAACCAAATGGTAAATGCTAGTATAAAACCATCTTTCCTGATTCCAATTCAAATTTATTATACATTAATGATGAATCCATCTACAGAGACGATATCCACAGATGGACAAACACGTAATTTCAATGTTTCGTATACTCCTGAAATTGCTGGCGAGTATGAAATTTGGGTGCTGTGCGGGAACATAGCGCTGAATGATGGAAAACCCTATAACATGACAGTCTCACCAGGTTGTATATTTCTCCTATGGGTCATCATTTTTAAGATAGTGGAAGAATAACCCCAGGCTCTGAATTTGGAGATGCACACATCCATCCTATGTGTCATCCTAGTAGCTCACTTCTACATTCACTCCATATGATGATAATGCAGTAACTGTTCTTTACAACTTTTTGTTTCGTGTAAGTCTGTTTCCTTTTTTGTCCATGGCCATGCAAATAATTTTGCATAAGAACAACGTCTCCTTTATGAAAAGCACAACGTAGTAGCTTCATCTACGTTATTTCAGTCAGAAAATAACTTTGCAATTTCAGCAGTATTACCTGAAGCAACTCACATTGGACGAACTCGAGGGCTGTTTCTGTCTTTTCTGGTGCTGATTGACCTCTGACTTTCAAGAACATTTCCATTTTGCAGGTGCAGTTGACACATCTTTATCAAGAGCTCCAGTGTTTGATCCAAAAGCCAAAAGATCAGTCAGAAACAATGTAACTGTTCGACTTGTTGACTCATTCATGAACCCAGTAGTATCTCTGGAGCCAAAACTGAGGCTTCAGCTAACATCTGCAAATGTAACGGCCCCGATGAACGCGTCAAGCTTCACCGCGGGGGAATTTGTCAACAACAAAGATGGATCATATACTGCTCATTATGTCGCAAGGTATCTTGGTTTATATGGCATGTGTATTCAGTTTGACAGCAGGCAGCTGGCTCCTTGTCCATTCCAAGTCCTTATTCTTCCCGGTAAAGTTTCCATTGCGCGGATGATATTCATGAAAAACATAAAAATGTTGAAGAGCGTTGACTGACTGAAAATGCCTCCCTGCAGACGAGTACTTCTCTGAAGTTCGAGAAGATCACATTTCAGTTTGGGAGGATGAATCTGTTTCCTTTGATATTTTGTCAAATGACTACATTGCAGTAGGACTAGCTGACGTAGTTAATTTATCTTCAGTAAGTTTATTAAACCACTTTTTTATTATTTAATTACGTAATGGTGTTCTTTTTACAGTTTAT